ATTAATTAATGACCGCCATGTGTCACAAAAGATAAAATGGCTAAATGATCATCGACTTCGTCAGATATAGATAAATAGTCATGAATTTAAGCAGAGAAGGAGACAGAATGAAAACAAATAGAATTTACACAATTTCGTCCCAACTCTTATTTTCAGCAAATTTCATTGAGTTTAGTGAGAAAAAATCTTCGCCAGGTAAAATAAATTTGTTAATTTCAATTTTAGGGTTAACAATATTTGTAATGAAAGAATGTTTCACAAAAATCACTCTCATCATAATACCTTACCATAAGAGCATGTTTAACAAAGTTTGAATTATAATTTAAGCGGGCCTGTTTGGTAGGAATTCTCATTTTCTACAGTAAATCAATTCTCATTTTCAACCACACATTCTTCAATAAATTAATATTTTTCATCACATCAATAATTTTTTTTTTTTTCAATCACACATTTCCCATTATATCATTATTCAAAATCAATTCTTCCCCCAAAAGATCCCTACCAAACAAGCTCCAAATATACTTTTTATCGACTCATTTCGCAAGACCTACAATTTATTACCTATTTAATATTTACACATTCCTTAAAATCGGCATATTACAAATTATAAACAATTAAAAAACTTTACCTCAATTTGTTGATTGTCCATTTATGATGGCAGGAAAATGAAATTGCATAGTCTAATATGTCGTAAAGTAGAAGGCAATTTATATTTTTGTCCTCAATTTGTTGATTGTCCATTTGTGATGGTAGCAAAATGCAATAACATAGTCTAATATGTCGTACAATAGAAGGCAATAGATTGTCAGAAATGTAGTCAATGTCATAACTTGTCCAAGAAGAGGGTGGCCCAAACAGGGGCATCAATCTGGTCCAGGAAGGAAAAATTGATAAGCTTTAAAATCAAAATCTCAACCAATTTAAATTGCAAAAATCTATGAAATATAAATATCATAAATACACCGTGCTTGTATCACTAGTCACTTGTGTAAATGATGAGACAACTAAGAAATTTGCTAATCCATGATGGCATTCGTAAATATTGAAATCATATAATTAATTAATTACAGAAAAAATTATAGTATAATATACTTATTTTTTGTATATTTACAATAAGGAATTCTGTTGCATTGGTCCCTCATCTATGACTCTTAGAACAACCTAGTCCAAACCTATTTTTCTNTACAATGTCGAGGTGATCGAAGGGCATAAAATATCCCCCAATTGTTCTGTCATCCTCTACATGAAGCATGGATTAAAGGTTAAGATTAGCAAGAGATTGTCCTAAAGGGTCATGTTTATGCATATTTGGTTTTCCCTTGTTATGTCAATGGTGAATGAAGAAACGAAATTGTCCTTGGTGTTCTACTTTTGATTGAATATGGAGTAAAAATTTGTAATAAATCTTGGTGCAAGTCTTCCTAAACATTCTGTCTGCCTCTCCGTTTCCTGCACCTGCCCCGAATAATTAAAAAACATTCTGTCTTCCTAAATACTTTAATATTATTCAACTTCATTTACTATTCTTTTAATTATTAAATTACATTGTTTTGACTTTTGATTACTGATATGTTTATAACAATAAAATTATTAAATTTCTCATTGATTTACTCTCCAATTAATTATACATTATGAATATACCGTAATCGTTAACAATCAATTATTTTACCTCAGATTTTTATATTAGGCCGTGTTTGATAGGCCATATTTTTGGGGAAAGTAGGAAAATATTTTCCACTTTCCACTTTTTTGACTGTTTGATAGGAGAATTTTTTCACGGAAAATATTTTTCGAATTTTCCTCACACGTGTGCATTTTCCTGGTTTTTGATGAAAATGTTTTCCCATCTTTTTGGTGGGAAAATATTTTCCCGATTGGCTGAAAATTTTATTTTTTTTATTTACAATGGAAACAAATGTCATAACTAATGGTAAACAAAAAATTCACCTTAATGGACAATTTTCATGTAAAATAAAGTCAAACGAACACTAAACTTTGATAAAAAAATGATTTTTTAGGAAACAATTTTTTTCCCTTTTTTCTTTCTTTTTGGCAATGGAAACAAATTTTATAACCAATTGTGGAAAAAAAAAATATCACTTTAATGGACAATTTTCATGTAAAACAAAGTCAAACGAATAGAAAATTTAAAAATTTTTCTGGTGGAAAATTATACCAATCAAACACACTTGAAATCATTTTCTCAGCAAAACNAACAAATTTTATAACCAATTGTGAAAAAAATTATCACTTTAACAAACACTTTTCATGTAAAACAAAGTCAAACAAATAGAAAATTTAAAAATTTTCGGGTGGAAAATTATACCAATCAAACACACTTGAAATCATTTTCTCAGCAAA